ATTATCTCACATTCAGTAACCCCTTGTGTCGTAGTGTCTTTATTGCCTTTATTGAAGTAAAAGGATTAAAAAAAAATGTTAAGTTTTGTCACATCGTGTTGAACCTGAGAATTTTTATCAAAATTATCAGTCTCTCTTGAAATTTATATTTCATCTACTTTTTAAAAATTTTTTTATCTGTGAGTTGACTTAACATGTCAATCCTATTTATCAGCTATAATTAAATCAACTTCATAAACTTATTTCTTTAATCAAATTTACCTAACTTGGTTCATTTAGTACAATCTTTTATCAACCTATTTATAATCATAATAAATTTGTAATGTACATGTATATTTATTGTCATTGTCTAATTTGTTTATTAAAATCTGCTCACAACTCAATGTATTTGAGAGTTTCTTCTCTGCTAAAACTTCTCATTTTACATTTACTTAATGTAGAATGAAAATAAAGAAAATATTAAAATTTCTAGAAGAACTGTTTAAAAACAACTATGCACTCTTCTAGTATAAGGGTCTGCAACCTACAGCACGTATGCCACACATGGTACACTAATTTCCAATGGTATGCAGCCATAAATGACATCATGAAGTCTGAACCAATAACTACTACAGCGCAAAGGAAATATTTAGTTGTTTCAATTTACTCTATACTAAAGTATATATACTATATATTACTATATAAAATATATTGACCTTGACTTGTATCAAAATATGTATGCTGTTGGCACACTGAATGATTTTAAAACCCTAAGTCGGCACATAGCAAAAGGTTGCTGACCCCAGTTCTAGTATGTGACAATTATGTCCTTGTAAGGGAAATTATAGCTGATTGTCCAGATATTGTTGTTGTTACAATGTTTCAAAACTTATTGAAATTGTAATCTCTTGATTGTATTTTTTTACCAATTTAGTCACCTGTTTTATGTTGTTTTTTTTCCTGCAAAATGTGAAAAGACCTTTATTGTTGCAACTTTCATTTGATTAGCAATTTATGCCCACTATTTTATTGTTATGCATTTAGAACCAACTGCCAATAAAAAAGGGATTTTCATTTTGTTTTGGATTTTTATATGTACAATCTATGTAAATGAAAGGAGGAATATATTACTCTATTGATGTGTGCTTGTAATTCAATGGCTATGACTTAGACAAAAAATCTGTTTTAAAATCTGTCTTGTGATATTACATAAAAAATTGTTCTATTTTCTATAATCAGTTTATGTTCCATAAAATTCACTCATTAAAAGAAAAAAGAAACTATTCCTCCTGAATTTGTTGGCCTAGTTTTCATTTTAAGAAACACAAATTTGAATAGGTGGTTGTCATTAAAGAAAGAGTAAATTAGAATTTTGTCAAGGTTATATTTGGTGATTTTGCCATGGGTATCTTGGGCAATTTTTTCCATGGTCATTAAATGTTTTAAATAACACTTTGTGAATCTCAGTTTTTCTAATGATTTCTACAAAAGTATTTGAGCACCGTTTTTGTTGATTCCCCACATTACTCTAATCATTGTTTTATTGATGCACACACTTATGAAGTGAATATTTTGCCAAGATATTAAAGAATTTGCAACAAAGTTGCAAAACTTTGTTGAAATAAAGCATAAAACTTCAATATGTGAAAGTTTAGTTTCTGTTAAAAAAAAATCATTGCATCATTTAAAATCATTATTACTTTGGATTAAACAATGGACTGTGTCACTTTTTTATATTTCTTGTTTTTATGAATGATCTACTTTGGAATGTCTACTTTTCTCAGCAAACATATTAATATTTGTTTTCTATAATACTGGGCCTTGATAAAAAAGATTTTTGTTTCAATATTTGACTGCTTAATATTTGTAGAGCCCTTGTCTTTTGCTTCCTTCTAAATAATTATCTACTGAATATGTGTATTTTCATAAAAAAATTAATGGTGAAGATAAAACTTAAAAGGCTGACTCCTTCCTCAATACTTGAAGCCTGTCAAAATGATAAAGTAAAACTTTCTGTTTTTAAAAGAAAATGCTGACCAGAAACTTCAGGGACACACACACACACACACACACACATGTGTGTGTGTGTGTAAATTGTCACAATGGAGATTTAATGCTGGTAACAATGTATCTATGTAAAATTCATTTTGAGTAAATTAATTATGCAAATAATTATTAAAAGCAAGTTCTGTCTTTTGAATATTCTTATTAAGGCAATGTTTACAAAAAGTCTTAAAGAATTAATTTTGATTTAATTTAATCAGGCAAAGTGATTTGAAAGTAATACAAATGAAAATAAATGCACAAATATTTGCATTTGTCATATTGTTAAAGTCTTTTCTTCTTCATCAGCTTTTCTTTTCTTTTTTCCCAATTGTTAAAATATTTTTTTCTTTTGACACTGGAATAATTTGTTCCATTTTTTGGTTATAATAATTCAGAATGATCTGACCAGGCATTAATAGCAGGATTATTTTATAACATCTTGTTTCAGATTTAATCCTAGACAGTTTTTAGATTGGAACTCTACAGGTTGCAAGGTAGTCAAGTGATAAGGGAACCAAGTTCACCTATTTATATTTTAGCCTCACTTTATGTATGCCATTAGAGAAATTGTCAAATTGTTGTGAAATGATTTTATCTTTTTGTTCTATATGTTTGCCAAGAAATTGAAGGATATAGAATAAAACTTGTAATATTTTCTTTTAGAGGAGAAAGAGACAAGTGTCAATGATGGTGCCAAGCACAAGGCCAAAATGTACTACCACTCCTGCATGGATGCTAATAAAACTATTGAAAAGCTTGGCAGTGATCCCCTTGTGACGTTAATGAAGTCAATTGGTAAATGGAATATTTCTAATGTATTTGGGGTTTGGGATCCTGAGAAATGGGATTTTCAGACAACTCTTGCAACAATACACAATCTGGAAATGGGTGCACTTTTTAATGTGTGGGTATCAACTGATGACACAAATTCCTCAAGAAATATATTGGAGGTTTGTATCTTTTCTTTTGCTTTAGAAATATCTATCTGCAAGGAAAAAATTTAAATATTTAACTCTTTCATACCATCTTTGTTGATAATGCAAAATAAATAATTTATACATTAATGAAATAGCTTTCAGTTTGAAATTTTTTTAATATGTACAGAATACATCTGCTATTTAGCTTATAGAAATGTATTTTTATGTATTATAGGTTGATCAAGGAGGCCTGGACTTGGCAGGTCCTGAATTTTATTTGAATAAAAGTATTACTGAAGATAAGGTAAGTGTATGGTCACCATTCCAATCTTTTGGCTATGTTGGATGCAGTCTGAGTTTCAAAAATATCATTGGATTGAACTTGAAAAGTTGATGTTAGATTGTAAAAATTGTTTGTAAATGTCCTATTTAGACAATCCATTCTAAATGGAATAGCTTTTTTTTTTTTTAATGTTATGAATATCTACTTGAAAGTGGTTTTAAGTCGACTAAATGTTTCTCTTAATTTGCTGATTATCTATATTTCTAATACTTTACTGGGCCACTAACCTTTTTTCATTTTAACCAAAAAGATAATAATCTTTAGAATTTATTATGTGTTGTCAAAGATTGTCTTTATCCTTGTTTCAAGCTCATGGTAAAGAAACTATCAAATAACTAAAAGATAAACACCCAAATCTTCCACTTTTATTGCTTGTAGTTGACACAATATTCTTTTTGTAAAATGTAGCCAAATTAATTTGAAAGAAATTAAAATTTAAACTTTGTCCAACTTTCAGCATTTTCATTTTTATTGGACAGTATCAACTCTTGTATATTTTTGTGATAATCTTTTTTTTGTGCTGATACTTCATCCATTGTAAGGAGCTTTTGCCATAATGGTTTCTTTGAACAGCAAATTGCTTCAGGGTAGAAGTAATGTTTTGTTCTCCTCTAGTGCTATATATTACATAAAGTGTTTTGTTAAAAAAAAGTCCCTCTGTTGGATAAAAAGAAAGTAATGCATTTTCTCTTTATTTATACACATTGCTAACTTCTCATCATGCAATTTTTCTCTTAAAAATTAAAAATGATAATATGCTTTTAAACTTATCAAAATATGTTACCGTTTTTGGCATTATAATTGACAAAAGAAGAGTCTCTCTCTCTCTTGTTCTTTCTGTACATGGAGCAATATGTTATCATTTAGTTAATAATTAGCCATCTAGCAACAGATTATTAGTGATGCATCTGTTCTAAGTTAAAACTACTTGTTTTTTTATGTATATATATTTCAGGTTTTGTCAGCATCACTTGAATACATGACCACTTTGGGAGTTTTACTTGGAGGAGATAAAAATGATACTCGGAATTATATGTATGAAGTCCTTGATTTCCAGATGGCCATTGCTAATGTAAGTATGAACTTACTTTATAAAAGTAAATATATGTTCTTCTGGTTAATTCATAAAAGTGGTGGTCTTCGATACTGTGTGCCTCTTTTTTGCTAACTTTGTCCATTGGCCACAGAATATAGAGATTTTTTTTTAATGGATTCTGATTTGAAATACTATATTTTCTTTATATATATATATATATATATATATATAGACATACGATGGCTGTTAATAATTACATTTAACTCAAGACTTCAATGTTAACTAAAACAGTATTTAATTACAACTGCAAATAAATACTTAAAAAGAACAAAGAATTAAAAGTCAACCAAAGATAATTAACCCTATCTGTGAATACCTGGTTAATAGCTTGGCATAACGTTCAGTAAATCCTAAATCAATACCAAAATCATCAACACACAATAATTCAAACTAATTCGACTGGATAGTTCCACTCAATAGTCATTCAATAATCATTGCAGTCAGTAGCCTGACACCACTATTTATACACCTGGTGGAAAACATATTCATAAATCCAGAGTGTCACACTCGAACCTTGGTGTTGGTAGTTACTCATTTTTTCCTATATGACAAAATATATATATATATATATATATATATATATATATATATATATATATATATATAATATATATATATTATTTAAAAATATGATTCCAACACTACATAAGAGTTCTCATGTTTCAAAACAAGAGCCGAAAACTTCAATATAATTATTTGAATTAAAGTGCCAAGCTCTGTTCCATCTTCAAGTGAAATTTGGGGGGGTGGGATAACTTACTCCTGAAATTAACGCGTTTATAAGCATATTCATTATTGAAATTAAAATTACTATGGTAACGCCTAGAGCAATTGTTTAAAGAAAAGGGGCATAAGGGTTAATAATTTGTATCAATATCTCAGTTACATTCAAAGATGTCAAGTCAGGGTAAGGTTGGGTTTTCTAAATTTAAAACGGAAGATGACATCGTCTAGTCTGGTTAAGTGTCTATGGAGATTTATTTATTTTTTATTTTATTTTTTATTTTTTTCTGAAAGGGTTTTGTGTATATATAAAAAAAAAAGTGTCATAAGTCACTAACATTTGTTTTTTTGACTACTTCATAAAGGGTTATCTTTTTTTTTTTTGTAGGGCATTTAAACTATTTATTTAGACTATGGAATTTAAAAATTATTTTATTGTTTGTTTGTTTTATGCTAATTATTCAATGCGAAAATTTGATGATGTCAGCAAAAAACCATTAACTCATGTCTATTGTTTAATAGATTTTTATTATTTAGAAACTTAATAATGTGTAGTTTTTCATGTAGGCATAAAGGGCATGGGTCATCCCAAGTTTTACAAGTTCTAGTTTTGTTTATAATTTTCCATTTTACTTTTGGTGTTTTATTCATATCCTTCAAAAGCCAAAAATATTTAGATAGAGATGTCTGATTTGTTTTATTTATATTGTTGAAGGAGCACTTATGCTGCCTACATCTGGTTTTAAATTCATTCTTCGTAGACCCAATGAATATCATATTAGTATTAGGACTCTCAATGGATGAGATAATACATTGGTATACCACAGATTTTACGCGGCATTTATTTTCCAATGGGCAGTCTTCTGGGTTTCTACAATCACATAATTTTTCACTATTTTTGTCTAATTTAAGTGTAGGGTTTTTATTAATACTATTCTGGCATGGGGGTTTATTCAGGATTTTATTATTGTGTTTTTTTATTATACTTTCTAGATTTTCAGTGCAGCTGTAACTTAATTTTAGGGTGTTTTTATTAAATATTTTACTAATGGTAGGAAAGTGTTTTTCAATTAAAGCTAGGAATTTCCGTCCTAGGTTAATACTAACTGTTGTGATGAAATAACCTGACTTCCCCATTCACCATAAATGGACGTTCTGGTGGCCGATAAAGTTCGACCACAGTAAACAGTAGAGAGAGCGACAACAAAGGTCTTCGTTGACTACACCATTCGGTTAGCTTACTCTTACTCTGTCTCTGTATTTTGACATTCCTACATTCCGATATAAAGTATTATTATTTAAACCACCACTCGGGTTTACTTTGTTATTATATCTTTTTGCAAGATATAACGACTGGCGACGAGATATAACAGTTGGCGAATGAGGATTCAAACTTACACGAAAAAACTTTTTGTACGCCTAACTATAACAGTTTTAACGAGGATTCAAACTTACACGGAAAAATTTTTAAACGTGCTTAACTATAACAGTTGGCGGATTTAAGGATTGTGCAAATCACTTTTAAAAAAAAAAAAAAAAAAAATATATATCGCTGAACGGATTTTCGAAAGCGGAGTCACAAGTCAAAAGGAAACTTTTTGAAAAGTAAGAATTTTTACTGTTAAATTGTGATTTGATAAATATATATTGAACCGCGACTCAAATACGAGCGGTCTAACAATAATTATTCAAGTAAAAATTACGGGTTGTAAAAATATTACGGCTGTAAGTTGTTTGTTGAGAGTTTAACTGTGTCAAAAAAAAAAAATTTTTTTTTTTTGTTTTGCCGAAATCTAAAATAAGGATGGAGCAATTAGTCGAATGACTAAAATGCTGTGTACAAGAATATACAACAGCAACAACAACAGCATCTAGAGTTACAACAACAGCAACAAAAAACAGCACCAAGACTTACAGCAACAAATATTGCAACAAAAAAAAAAGTCTCAAAAATTTTGGAGCAGGCGACTGGAGAAAGAAAAAATACTGTTTTTTTCTGCCGAAGGAATAACAAATTCATTATCCGAATTTATTTATGATCCTGATTCGGGCATTACATTTCCAGCGTACTTTAAACGTTTGAAACTATATTTACCAAGAGATGTCAACATTGGTGGGATGAGGAACGAGTAACATTACTAGTACAGAAACTAGGGACAAACGAGAATAGGAAGTACTCAAACTTGATACTGCCCAGAAAGCCAGAAGAAGTTTCGTTTGAAGAAACTATAAGTATTCTGTCAAAAATATTTGACGAAGGAATAGTCTGTTCCACACGCGATACAGATGCCTAAACATCGTTAAAGCAGATAACGAGGATTTTGTGACATAACGGGGAACAGTGAACTCTCTGGTTGAACAATTCAAGTTAGAAGAAATAACCAAAGATGTATTCAAGTGCCTAATTTTTCTTCAAGGACTAACTGATCCTAAATATAAAGAAATTAGGTCGAGAATATTAATAATGGTCGAGCAAGACTCGAAAATAACATTACAAAGGGTGACCGAAGAATGCCAACGTCTCATAAACGTAAAAAGGGGAATATACAAATTGAGGAGAAAAGTGTTGCTAATGTTCGACACAAAAAAAACTCGAAAAACTCCAAATGCCAAAAAAGGTAGAAAATGTGAGACGTGTGGAAAAATAACCATACCAAAGACACGTGTTGGTACAAAAAAAAGTTCTGCCAATCGTGAAAAAAAAAAGTCATACCAAAAACGTGTGTTGGTACAAAGATAAATTCTGCGAATCATGCGGAAATAAAGGGCATAAATATACGGTTTGTCGAAGAAAAGAAAATTACAAGATGTAAGTCTGGTACTATCAGAAAAAGTAATTCAGAAAGGAAAAATAGAAAGTACGTAGATGTACGATAAATAATCATACAATTACTTTCCTACTGGATTCTGGTTCAGACATAAGCATCATTGACGAACAAACTTGGAAAAAATTGGAAGACCTAAATTATCTGAAACCAAAAAAAACCGCTAGAGGGGTTTCAGGAAAGAAATTAAACTTTAAGGGAGAATTAAAGTGCAATATTTCGTTATGTGGCAAGACTGCAAAAACGAAAGTGTATGTAATCCAAGGGATTAATTCATGTCTTTTGGAATAGACTGGATAGTACTTTTGATTTATTTGAACTCCCGATTAACTCATTTTGCAATGTAATAAACAGTGCCGAAAAACAAAAAAAATATTAAAGATGAAAAATTCATAAATGAATTAAAAGAAGAATATCCCAGAGTTTTTTCTGAGGGATTGGGTTTATGTACCAAAACGGAAGTCAAATTTGAACTCAAGGAAAATGTGAAACCAATTTTCAAACCTAAGAGAAACGTCCTGTTTTTCCTCCTTAGACACAATTAATAAGGAATTGGAAAGACTTGAAAAAATGGGAGTGATATCTAGGTTGACCATTCAGACTGGGCCTCACCCACAGTTTATGTTAAGAAGAAAAATGGAAAAATAAGAGTGTGTAGATTTTTCAACTGGATTAAATGATTGCCTTAAGAATCACAGTTATCCACTACCTTCACCAGAAGATATTTTTCAAAATTAAATGGTGGGAAGATTTTTTCAAAAATCGACCTGTCTGACACATACTTGCAGATTAAAGTGAGTGACGAATGCTCGAAATATTTGTGTATAAATACACATAAAAGGTATTTATAAGCTAAATAGGCTGCCTTTTCGGCTTAAAAGTCGCTCCAGCTTTGTTTCAACAGGTGATGGACACTATGCTGGCAGGCCTGGAGTTTGGTACCGCCTATTTAGATGACATTCTAGTCAAAAGTAAGAATGTTCAAGAACATAAAACGCACATCAGAGCGATATTCAAAAGACTAGAAGATTTTGGTTTTAAATTAAGCCCGAGAAGTGTGTAAATTCTTCATGGAAAGAATTACGTACCTCGGACAGGTAATAGACAGTGAAGGCAGGAAACCGGACCCACAGAGGGCCGATGCAATTAAAAACATGCCTGCACCCGACACAGTTCTTGAAACTACAATCGTTTCTGGGGTTGGCACAATATTATGCAATTTACATACCTAAAATGTATGATTTAAGAGCCCCCTCAACGAATTGCAAAAAAAAAAGAAAAAAATGGTTTTTGGTCAAAAAGTTTGCGAGACGGCTTTTCAGAAAATAAAAATGCCTACTCAGATCTCGCTTTAGCACATTATGATCCTGAGAAAGAGATCATTCTAGCAACTGACGCAAGTTTATACGGGTGGGTGCTGCACTGCTA